AATTATTTAAAGAAAAAAGAAAGGAAACTAAGAATCACTGTCACCAGTTAAAGGTAAGACAAAAACAAGAGGTATGTGGGCATCGGAGGGTTTTTCTCCACCTGGCCTGATTAGCAGAGGTTCTTTGGGTGAAGAAGAACCTCTTCACAGAAGAGCTAGCGACAGGACGGAGCCGCTAACAAGCCAAACAAGTCCTCCTCCTTTGGGTCTCCAGTCACTTTCCGCCCTTGCCTCATGCCTGTCCCCACCCCAAGCCAGGGGGGCGTGAGACGCTGGGAGAAAAGACTTCCCTACAGGGCCACGTGTCAATCATCCCTTTCAGGGCACAAACAAAGCTGATTTATCTCCTCTGGACAGCGCTTTGGACCAGAAAACTTTGGGCTCAGCCTCGGGCGCCTGGGTGGTATGCGCAGGGGACCCGCTAACCCGGAGCAGGATTCACTCGCAGGGACCCCCGCCCGCCCCACGCTCTCTCCTTTCTCTCCAGCCCACCGTAGTCCTGGACCTCAGATACCGGCCGCATGATGCCTAAGCCCCAGCGGCGGGTGCTCGGTCACCAAGGCACGGAGGAAGGCGTAAACAACTGCGCGCCCGGGGCACCGGCCACCCGCGTCCTCCCACGAGGAGCGCACGCCCCCGCTCCTGCCCCACGGGCCACCTCGGACACCCCGCGCTTACCTGCCCCGAGGGGCGGGCGCTGACAGTCCCGGCCTGCCCGCCGCGGCTGTTTACACCGCAGAGGCTGTTTACACCCGCTGAGCAGCACAGCCGAGCCGGAAGAAGCCTCCCGTGCCTGTGCGCTAACAGGCTATATTTGTAGGTGGATAATATGATCTGGAGGACATGTGCTAACCGACTATCTATTCTATGTGACTCAGCCCAGCCTGAGACAAAACAGACTTCGTCGGGGAGGGCTTGGCACCCAGCGCAAGCCCTGGCCCTGGGACGATCTGCAGCCTCCCGCCCAGGGCCAGATCTTTCCACATGGACGTCCCGGAGTGTGTGGGGTGGAACGGGGGCAGGGAAGGGAGCGGGTTCCGTGTGCTCAGCGCGCTACGCTCCGAACCAAGCCAGACGCAGGCTTTGACAGCCTTGCGACCAAGGGAATGGAAAAGTGTGTCCAGTGTTGGAAGCAGCAGACACCGAAGGTCTCAATTTCATCGTTATATTTTATCTTTTTAATATCCTAAAATGTATATGAGTTTAGGTTCTCTTTGGAGAGTTTACTAATTGGGCAAATACGTTTTACTCATAGCCGACATCCTGAAAATAGGACAAGTTAATAATCAATAGTCAAGTCCCTTGCCGCTCCCAGGGGTCTGTGTGGCCACTTCGTGACCCTTAATGGCAACGGCTCCTCACAGTCCTTAGCCTAAAACTGAAAGATGCCTTTTGTGTAACATATACGTCATACTTCTAAAATTCGTTACCTTAAAAAGCATTATTTTCTATATGGAATATCTTCTATTTGTTGGCGTTTATGATTGATGGCATTTGTTGTTGTTATTTATAATTAAATTAGTTAAAATTATGTACTATGTGGTTAATGAGGCTCAAGAAATCTTTGCGACTATATTAAATCATACCTCTAAAGTGTTGGTTGTGCTTTTTTTTTTATTACTTACAACTTTTAAATTATTTTTCTCTTTCGTAAAGTTACCTGTTTCATTTTGTTTTGTTTTTTTTTTTTTCTCGTATTCTGAACCAAAGAATACAAATTGAAAAGGCAGTTCAGATCCTATCTACAA